TCTACTTTGCGACGGCTTTGCCCCTGGCTTGTGCCCGTGCCAGCAACAGCTCAGCGAGGCTGCCAATGGTGGGTTGCAAGGCAGGGCTGGGCATGGCCTGGCTTGATTTGGTTTGGTTTGCTTTGGCGCATGTAAAGCAACAGAAAATCGATTAACATGGCTTTAATGGTTGCTCCAACGCTCCAGCGTGCGCCCTGCCCTGCCGTGTCCTGCCCTTCCACTTGGCAATTGCAACAGCATGCTGACAATAAGAGCGCGACAAACTTCTCACGCCTGTGAAAGGCCCCGCGTGCGTGTCTTCGCCCATCCAGACGCCTGTCCCAACTGCCAACGGTGTAAATGAGTGAGCAACTGGGGGGTTTCCGGTCGCCCACTTACACAATTACACTGCCTCAGCTCAAACCACCCCTCCCCCCCTCGGCGCCGTCAACCCCATCAGCAACTTCCTTTTGACTTTGCGCGTGCCGCGTGAGCACGATTAAAGGTATTAATTGTGACAGATTTACGCATTCATTGTTTAGGACGTGACCCCACCTACGCGCCTTTTAAAACATTCCAGTCCCGATGCTGTTAATGATGAGCCCATGTTTTCTCAGCTTAAGCAGCTTTAAATTGTTGCTGTAATCGATTTTGTTTCATATGGAAATTGCGTTAAGTCGGCTTACTACAAATCGCTGAAACTCACATGCGACTACGGGGTTAGATAGAGACATGGCCAGACGGCTGAGGAGTTCGATAGATAGAGAGAAAGATGCTGTTTCGCTTAAGATGCGGTTCGCTTAAGATTCCGGTATACCACAACTACTTAGCCAGATTTTCATTCGAGCTTTGGGCTAAAAGTTTCCTATATATATTTACAAAAACTAAAAATGTTCCCATAGTAAAAATAAATCAATTAAGAGTGCTTTAGTCGGGTGTGCCTGATTACGAAATCCCCTGAACCCCGCGCAAGCTATACATACATACACAAAAACACACCCAAATGCGTGTAAATACTAAATCGCTTAAAATGTTCTAATTTTGGGCCAAATGAGGAAGGTTTACAAAAACTGAAACATTAAAAATCTGATTATACTATAAGAGTATCTACATGCCAAATGTATCTTGCTTTTATAACTTTCGAGCTATGCCTAAAAACACAAGTTTCAAAATCGATTTTTATCGATATTTTCGTAATGAAAAGAGATAACGATAGAAAAAAATTATTAGCTCGTTTTGCGTACATGGTTTTACCCGCTTCAATGGTTTGAGGGTAAAAAAAATAGCTGTTGCTTTGGAATCATTCTTCCGGAATCAACACGTCCTGGTCATATGAAGCACACCTAACATAACATACAATAACATCTGAAAGGTGTCCCCTATCATATTCTGTTGCTGTTGCGATTTCAAAAGCGGGCTGCAACCGCAGATTGAGCCCGGCGCAGGGACTATCTAACCAAAAACTATTTGGATTCTTACGTAAGATCCCTGGGACTGTCTTGTTATGAACTGTGGTCATCTTTTATTAGATATTATCAGATGATGCGAGTTTGATGACTTATAAGCTAAAAAATCTCCACACTCGCAAATTATCTGCTGTATATTACGCATACGCAATGTGGCCACAAATTTGCTGTCAGTTTGCATTTAAGTGAATTTCAATTGGGATAAAAGCCACAGATAAATTTGCTATAACCGAATAATTTGGAAAATTATTTGATTATTGCGGGACGCAAACATGATTGATACCGGCTAGCAGCATAAATATTTCAATACTTATAATGAGGCACTCATGAAAATGCGTGTGCATACAAGTAGGTACTTATTTGGCTGACATAAGGACCTGGCTCATGCTTTCCCATGTACATAATAATCTCTGAAAAAATCGATTAGCACAAAAAATTTGTAAATCAAATGTGCGTCCCCAATAACAAACTATAATTGCACATGAATTTGTGTCTTTCACATTTCCACCCATTTCCCGCCCGTGGAAATGAATGGCATACCAGGTGCTGAAACTTAATCCACTTATGTCATTTGATTTCTCATTACACAAATATGCTTGTGGAATTAGAAAATATATGATATAGTGGTTCGACTGGTTCAAGTCATATTCAGGACTCAACGAACTGGCATTGTGTGTGGATAAAAAAGCACTGGGCTGTATTCGTTCACATTATTCATTACATGGGCACCACAATTGGCGTTGATCTGTGACACACGCTAAAACATTTGTTAGGCGCAGGACATTTTACAAAATCAAACTGAAAAATTCACATAAATTGTGAATCCTCTCAATACATACCCTTACAAAATAGAATTGAATGAAAATGTTATAAAGCGATATCGCACCGATTTCTAATTTAATACAAATTCTCAAAGTTCTCTAAAGTGTTATTCAAATGCAGTTAAGTAATTTAAATAAACTAAATGTCTTCAAACTAAAGAATGATATTTTTTATTGATCAACTGAAACTTAAATAAATTCTGTGGCCTTCAAACTGCAGTACTTGAAGAGCATTAGAAATTAGAAGCCAGAGTCTCGTCGACAAAAAACACTTTGCCAAATGTCAACGCGCTATATTTATGCAGAATTGATTTCGCAACAACAACAACAACAACAAGAGCAGCAACTGGCATGACAATGAATTACACATACATACAAACGTGTGTATAGAACATATAGAACATATATAAACGCATATGGGGGCAAGTGGCAGCCAGCTCGCTTGGTAATGACAGAAATTTGGAGAATAACCATTAGGGAGGCCCACAAAATGCCATTGAAATTGAATTACGCGCAACAATAAAATTTATGTTGTACAGTGAAATTGAGAAATAAGCACAAAAACAAACTGCAAGCAAGAGTTTAAGCAACAGAACAACTTTTTCACATTCCTATTCAACTTATTTTATAAAAGATTCACATACCTTTGGAAGATTATATGCTAAGTTGTTTCATTGAATGCATTTTTTATAATGGTTTTTAATCTTTTTTTACCATCAAACAAACTTCCTGTACTATAAATTAATACAGTCTTTTCAGTTACTACCGGGTATTACAAATTTCCGTTATATTTCAAACAACAAGAACCTAATTTTCTTCTAATAATTCGTGGAGAAAGCTTGCAGAGAAGCCGACATACTTGGCTATTCGACACGGCTGTACGCATGCTACCACAAGAATATATGTATGTACATATATACTTTATGTGTTTGGAGACATCTCCTTCTATGCATTACATACTTTGTGAGGTAGCTCAATGCCCAACACGCTAACTATTTGGAAATGTCACCCGAATTAATACGTCTCCGACTCAAAATACCTTTCCCTGATGTCACAAATAGGTTTGCAGCCTTTAATCATGAAATACAAATGTCCGAGTCGCCGTTGTTCATGTACTCAATACTATATACTGACTAGTGTCTACCGTGTCCCGGCTCCATTGCCGTCAAGTTGCGTGATTCTTGGCTTGTTTGTAGTTTGATGTAGATCGGCCTGGTCTTTGGCTCCGGCTACGGAAGTTTAGCGCATTGCAAGTGAAGCATCGCATCGCTGTTGGCGTTGAATGTGCCACATGTAGGTGCATATATGTGGGCGGATGAGTGTGTGTGTGTGTGTCGCTTGGTTGTGTTTATGCGGTTCATTGTTGTTGAAAAGCGCAGTCCGTGCCGACACCCCGGGCAATGCAAATATATGCACATGTGGACATAAGTACATGCCAACCAGCGTCGGCCGCCGTTGACGAGGCCATTGGAGTTGATATAACCGTATTGATATAACAGTATTGTGCACGGGGGCAGAGGTTGTGTAGGTGTTGAATGCAATTGGCTTGAGTCTGTGTGATGCTCTGAATAAACAGCAAGGCTGCGTCAAAAGGAAGCCAGGACGCAATGCAACGACCAAAAGTCTAGTCGGGCACAAACAACCAACTTGCCCACACGCACAATCACAGTCACAAGTACACGTACACGTACACGTACACGTACACACACACACACACGCAGCCACTAAAGAGCTGGAGACCATGGCAGGAAGCTTTGAGCCTTGAGGTCACTCCAATTGCGACGCGGGAAAATTCGTCAAATACAGGCAAGTGACAGCGTCCAGCCTTAAACCAACATCACGCCGCCACGCCCCCTTTAAATATGCAGAAACACATCCGAATCTGTGTATGCGTGGAAGTGCGTGTGTGCGCGTGTGTGTGTGGGTGTGTGTGCATGCATGTGCGCGCCTGGTTGCGTTTACCATGTCAGCTGGTTGAGCACAAACAAGCCCGCACCCAGGCAAAGACCAGGCTTTGAACCAGGTCATTTGTTCGTCATATCCCATGCAAAAAGGGTCATCCATATGGTAAAAAGTCAAGGCACTTGAATTTCAATTAAACCCTGAGGACACACACACAGACACTCGAAACTGAACTAATTTATTTGGTTGGACCTCCGACTTATAGTACATCTATCCGATATTTAGTTGATGGTATTATTCTTGTTATTATTAATATTTTTATTAGTTTTTATTATTTTTCCCCTTGCAGAGCGTGCAGAGATGCAGGGCATTCACAAAGAACGTTTTCTTATGTCTGCTGATCCCCTCCACAGAATCGTCCTGGATTTCGGTTGTGTATGTTCTACTTTCTCAGGTTCTGCACCTCGCATGGAGCATCTATTATTGAGATTGGAAAGCCTTTTCGCTTGAATTTACACTGTGTTCTGTGTTCCTTGGAGAGGCCAGAAATTGGCCATATTGGCTATATTCCTCAATAGGAACGTACTGCTATCATATTCAGCTGCTGATCAATCAGTAACCGACCAGCTTTGGCGTAATTGCAAAGGGTCTTAGCTCTTGGAGTGCCGCCTGGCTAGTAAAGAATAATTAAGAGATCCATTTCGCTCGGAGCCTCTGCTTGGAGACTTACTCGTGCTTAATGACTATTTGAATCTAGGTCCAATGAATGCGGCCTCCGTATCTCCCTTTTTCTTTTTGGATCCATATTCTATATCTGTAAGCTGTTAGGTGGTACATACTATTTATATATATTTAACTATTAAAGCTGTAAATTATTTATACAATCACAATATAGCTATGGACGGATTATGGTTCTTTCTTCGTGTTACTTGTTACGGAGCCTTGCCTTTGTCGAACTCCTCAATGCGATTCTCCAACTTGTCGACCTCCAGCCAGAGGAGTGAGGCCTCATGCCAGGGGGGCGGTGGATCGGCATTAATTGTCTCCATTATTTTCTCTAAATGGGCCCGATCCATGTCTATGGCCATTTTACGTCTCTGATACATAACGGCCCGTAGATTATCCATTTGGGAATCGGACGATAATCGCTTGACACCAGTTTTAATAGTCTGACACGCCTTGTTGCGAGTTGTGCACTTGTCTGTCTCATTGGTTACTTCCAAGTTCATATCTGGCCACTTCTGCTGCTGCTGATACGTTGTCTTGGGCCTAGCGAATTTTCGAGGTTGCGGTATGGTCTCCAAGCTACGAATTTTCAAATCTTCAGTTTGTGTGGCCACCGTAATGGTGCCCGGGTCTGGCCCATTCCATTGGTCAATGGCGTCAGTCTTCTTTAGGTCTTTAATCTCAGTATTTGATTTCATTGGATCCATGGCGATCTGTCGTTTTTAAGGTGTGTTAATTGCACTTCATTTTAAATTCGCGTTCAAATTTGATTTTTACCAGATTTGTCTGTCAAATTTTCTATTTGTTTTTCACTTCTTGCTCTGCAATCCAGACACAATTATATTTGCTTTTTGATTCGGCCCCTTTCAGCAAACAATCAACATTAAAAGCATGGCTACCCAAATTCTATAAAATTTTAAATTAAATCAAATGCCTACTTTATTCCATAATTCCTATTCGATTTCTACATATATCTAACAGTGTTTTAACTACTATATTTATTCCTTAGCCAGGTTCATGTAGGAAGTCGTTAGCCAAAAGCCATAGAAGCTACTTAAAAACAAAAACTAACATAAAATAAGGTGGATAATTTTTATTTTCTATCTAACTATGTTAAAATTAATAAGTATCATTTTAATGCAAATAATCTCTATATATAAAACTGTTTGTCCTGACTGACTGACTGACTGACTGATTGGTGATCAACGCACAGCCCAAACCGTAAGAGCTAGGAAGCTGAAATTTTCACTGTAGTTACCTTATGTGATGTGGGTGCACTTTAAGGCGGGGTTTCAGGAAATTCCACCCGCAAGTGTGGAAAAATCGCGAAAAACGTTTGTATGTAACTTTTATGTTTACCATCCGATCGGCCTCAAACTTATTTTCAAAGATCTTTGTTCAAATTCATTTGAGGGGTGTTTCACACTTTTAGGAAAATCCATTCCTCCTTGGTGGAAATGGAGGTCAAAGATTTGGTGGGTGACTTTTCGCGCTCAAATTCATTTCCAGAGATCTATAAGAAAAATCATTTGAGACGTGTTTCACACTTTTCGCAGAATTCAAACTTCTTCGGAGGGAATGCGATTTAAAGATTTTTTGGGCGAAGCTTTAAGTTGTGTCCGATTTGCTTCAAACTTATTTTCAAAGCTCTACATAAGAACTTAATAGATACGTATTTCAGCGATTTGGGAAATTCCACCCGCAACAGTGGTAAATTGGCGGAAAACGGTTGTATGAAAGTTTTTTGTTTACCATCCGATCGGCCCCAAACTTATTTTCAAAGATCTTTCCTCAAATTCATTTAAGTGGTGTTTCAAACTTTTCGAAAAATCCGTTCCTCCTTGGTGGAAATGGAGGTCAAAGATTTGGTGGATGACGTTTTGTGTTCAAATTCGTTTCCAAAGATCTATAAGAAAAATCATTTGAGACGTGTTTCACACTTTTCGCAGAATCCAAACTGTTTCGGGTGGAATGCGACCCAAAGATTTTTTGTGCGAAGTTTTAAGTTGTGTCCGATTTGCTTCAAACTTATTTTCAAAGCTCTACATAAGAATATAATGAATACGTGTTTCAGCGATTTGGGAAATTCCACTCGCAACATTGGTAAATTGGCGGAAAACGTTTCTATGAAAATTGTTTGTTTACCGTCCGATAAGTTTCAAAATCATTTCCACGGGCAAGGCCGGGTTATACCCGCTAGTAATCAATATATTAAGATTAACAATAAATATAGTAATAATAATTATAAGAACATATTTTTAAGGTAGGCTTTAAATTCATAACATATTTGGAAATGTTATAAGATATTATGAGGATATTTTAGTTGAGAGTACTGTGAGAAGCCCCCAACAACCGTGTCTTTAACCATATAAAAACAAAGGGCGGATTTTTCCCAAGTGTTCTTAGCAAAACTCGAGAATTGTCTAAAACCATCCTCCTGCCGGTCTCCTTATCATTCTATTATTACATTTTTAATTATATTTAGATAGAATGCTTTATATAACAAATTATATTACTTATTCGAATAGGATTAGCCAGATTGACCATCATAAAGAAACGTATTTCCTTATATATATGCATGCACACCAATATATAAAGTATGAAATCGAAGATGCTTTCATAAGTTGAACGCAATTTGTAATTGGGTACAGCACTTTTAAATAGGTTAATTATTATATAATTAATATAATATTTATATCCCTTATATAGGCCATAGAAGCCATAGAAATATATATAAACTAGCGGGTATTGTCCGGCCTTGCCCGTGGAACGTTTTGTGCTATAAAATTTAGATATTAGCTCTCCACTAATTACACGGAAAATTTAAATATACCCATCTTGTTCTCAAATTCTAAAAATATGTTTTAAGTGCATTGAATATAGAACCAAGTGTTGGAATCAACTGTTTCCGCCCATTTTAGTCGTGCGGTGAGAATCTTGAAGCTGAAGAATAAACTTTCATTTATTAAAACTTTGACCCGCATTTGCCACCCAAGAGCGTATCAAATATATTCTCAAAAAATTCTTTAAAAAATGATTTTTACACTGATCGGACGATAAGCAAACAACTTTCATACAAACGGTTTCCGCCAATTTACCACTGTTGTGGGTGGATTTGCCCAAATCGTCGAAACACGTATTCATTAACCTCTAATGTAGAGCTTTGAAAATAAGTTTGCTGCAAATCGGACAAAACTTTAAACTTCGCATTTCTACCGAGGAAGGTTGGTTCCAGCGAAAAGTGTGAAAAACGTCTCAAATGATATTTCGTATAGATCTTTGAAAATAAATTTGAACACGAAACGTCACCCACCAAATCGTTGAGCCCCATTTAAGCCAAGGAAGAATGCATTTTTTGAAAAGTGTGAAAAACCCCTCAAATGAATTTGAACAAGGATCTTTGAAAATAAGTTTGAGTCCGATCCGATAGTAAACGAAAAAATTTCATGTAAACGGTTTTCACGATTTTTTAACACATGCGGGTGGAATTTCCTAACTACAGTAAAAATGTAAGCTTTCTAGCTCTTACGGTTTGGGCTGTGCGTTGATCGCCAATCTGTCAGTCAGTCAGTCAGGACAAGCAGTTAAATATATAGATATGTATGTATATGTTGAATCAAACTAGCTTTTAATAGTTAACTTAAAAGTCGAATCCATCATCAAAACACAGCTATCGAAATCGCCATCATTTATCTAAATCGATTAATTCATCAACACAGCAATCGGATGCAGCGCAGATGCAATTGCGAATGACTTGAAACCGGTCCACCCTAAAACAAGCTAAGAACAGCAAACAAAAACAAAGCAATAAAGATAAGCAGAAAAGAGGTGTAAAGCGAACGATAGAGCAGCAAGAAGAGCACAAAGGCGAACTGAACGTAGCAATTCGAGGCGTCAGTCAGTGTCGTGTTCGGAAGCACAAGCACAAGCTGCAATTGAAAGCATCAAAAAAATATGCCACACCCAGTGATCCTGATACATGGTGGAGCGGGGGACATAACCGACTCCCGCGTTGCCGGCAAGTTCAAGGGCATCAAGGACGCGCTGCGTGCTGCCTGGAAGCATTTTGAGCCGACAACAGAAGCGTCTGGCAGCGCACTAGATGCCGTTGAGACGGCCGTGCGTTCCATGGAGCTGGATGAGTCTTTTAATGCGGGCTATGGTTCCTGCCTTAACACCGCCGGCGGCGTAGAAATGGAGGCCAGTTTTATGGAGGGGCGCGATTTGCGAGCCGGCTGTGTGACACTGCTGTGTGATGTCATGCATCCGATCACAGTGGCACGCCGGTTAATGGAAAGGCGACGTCACGTTTTTCTTGGCGGCCAGGCGGCATTGGACTTGGCGCTGAGCTCGGGCATCGAGAAGCTGCCGGCTGGCTCTCTTGTTACGGAAAGCGCTCAGCAGGCATTGCGAGAGTTTAAAGAGCAGGAGGCGCAGGGCTTGGACACCACTTTTGCTCGCACCGAGCTAGATAAGGCACGCACCGATCCGAATGGAGACACTGTGGGCGCCGTTGCCATGGACACGAGCGGACTAATTGTGGTGGGCACCTCAACGGGCGGCATCACGGGCAAATGGCCGGGACGAATTGGCGATACTCCTCTGCTCGGCTGTGGCACCTATGCTGAAAATACTATTGGCGGCATCTCTACTACCGGCCATGGTGAGACCATAATGCGCTACAATCTAGCTCAACGTATATTGGGCGCCATCCAGCATCAGGGACTCTCCGCCCAAGCTGCCGCCAAGCAGGAATGCCAGAAGATGACAGATCGCATCGGCGGCACCGGCGGCGCCATTGTTATTGACCACAAGGGCGAGGTGGGCATCAGTTGGACATCACGCCGCATGGCCTGGGGTTACGTGCGAGACGGCATCATTCATTATGGCATCAATCACAACGAAGTCTTCCAGGAGCCCTTGGTGTCGACACAAGAATAATACAATCACTTAAAAGCAATTTTACACATGTATTAAGCGTACCCTCAATGTTTTCTGTATTATTTGAATAAATTACTATTAATAAAGCACAAAATTATAAACTCTAAAATATAAATGATAAATGTGTATGTACATCATTATGAATACAAAAAAAAAAAAATCGTCTTATGTAGCTATAACTATATATATAGATTTCAGAAAATTGTTCATAACACCCAGACTGAATTGTGGATCCATTGTACTTGGCAACTTAAAAGATTATGTCAAAAACCTGAGATAAAACAAAAATCGAGCATTTATTGCTCTATAAACACCTCAACTGCTTAGGATTGCTGTCATCATGGCGAATTATACTAAAAACTCTATCGAATCGCGAATTGTACCAACAATAAGGAATCTGTTGAGAGATTGTAGCCCTTGATCTGTCCATTCATTTTAATTTGGACAATCAAAGCAATAGCCCATGACAATTAAAACTTAATAGAATATTAAGCATCTAAACAATCGAACAATGACATATAGAGATTGCACTTGCCTTTGGGCTGTGATCTGACTAACCCTGGCCACCCCTGGGCGCCACTTCGCGCTGCGACTCGTGCGCCTCGGTGGTGCCATAGCAATACTTGGCTGCTTCGTTGCGGTACTTGTTCTCGTGCTCGACAGAGTGTGAATTTGTGCGGCACTTGACGAGGCACAACTCAAAGTGATCCACCACGCTGGCATAGATGTATTTTTGTGTGTCTTGCGCCTGAAGCACCTGCTCCAGCAGCGACCGCTTGTTCGGATGCAGGCAACAGGACACACAATATTCATAGACGCCGCAGCAGTGAGATGTGGTATTGCAGCTGTGGCAGCTATAGTAGCTAATTCCGGGCAGCTCCACGTTGCAACAGCCATTGGCCAGCATCTGCTCACGTAAGCATACGAAACCACGCTCATCGGCCAGCAGTTGACTCCCCTGCACCGAGTTGCGACAACGTAGATCCGGATCCCGGGTTCGATTGAGATGTTCTTCGGGCAGCAGCAACTGTTGCTGCCAAAGCAGCGGACGAGTCCGTTGTGCTTTATACTCATCGTAATGTAGCGCGCTAAAGGCACCCTTCTGCTGAGCGTAAAACGGAATGATCAAATCACTTAATAGGAACGAATTGTTACTTCACAGCTTACCCGATCAAAGAGGCTTTCGAATATGTAGAGAAGGGCCAGCAGTACTAGAATTATATAAATAATGCGTCTTCTTAGCAAGCGTGTGAGTGCGGCTGGCCACATCGTATGCGTATGCGGACATGGGCATCGGCATCATTGCCAGCGGTTTTTCCAGGCAGTTGGCTGCGTCAAATCTGAAAACGATGCTTTCGTTGTTGCTGATGCTGCCGTGCTACAGCGTCCAAATTGTTAACACGCTGCATGCGCATTGGTTGTTAAACGCTTTTCGAGTCTATGCCAAATTATTTGGGAAATATTTGCAATTTGTTTTGGGCAAACAGCTGTGCTGAGCGTTGCCAGATAGTGGAAGGTTTATGGTATGACCGTGTATGTGATTGTCTCTCTAAGTTTATCGATTATTTTCTAAATACTATCGAAGATAATTTGTTTTGCCAACATTTAAAAACTCGAATTATTGACTAACTGAGTTAAATGCCTTCTAATTGTATATTTATTAATGCAAACGCATGTGTTTCGGTATTCTAATATCTTATATTTAACGGCCTTTTCATGCCAAAACTTGTATATTGGTTTGTTGATGGATTTCTAGACATGTTTGCTTTTTAATTTTCTCCTTCTGACAATGATTCCGCAAAGTCCTGTTCAGCTTTATAGGCTCTTATTTTCGCACGCATAGCCATATCGGGTTCCAGATGATGCGGCTGTATATAAGATTTGCTTGCGCATCCTACTACTGGACAGCGTATACTCATGTTGTCTTTTATAATAGCCTGCACAGAATCATGCTCATAGTGATGACCGCACTTAATGTTGCGCACTGCATTCAACATGAGGGCCTTGGACCACGGGTCATGCATTGAGACCACCATGACACCGGGTTGCATGACTTCGGCCACATCCTCATCATCTATGTTTGTGGCATCCGAGCCAGCATTAACGGCTTCCAGCTCCCGTTTAAACTGTTTGTACTCTGACGTTATTTTAACGTTAATGCGTTTTTTCTCTTCCTTTTCAAAAGATTGTGAGCACTTCTTGTTTAAGTCTTCCACTATATCTGTTTCATCTAATGCTTGCTGTAATACAGCATCGATGCGTTTCTGCTTGGCCTTCATGCCAATTAGACGTTCACCTAGCTCCAAGCGCTCCTTCAATGTTTCATTGAGCACTTTTTGTATTTGGCTGTGGAAACTGTCATCACAACCTTTAAAAAAGCCTTATTTTAAAAACACCAACTACCGGCATTGATGATGGCGACTTACAGTTTTCCAACGACTTTATAAATTCGGTGTTTTCAATAATGGTCCTCTTTACATCTTCAACATTACTTATAAACTCCATTGTATCCTTTTATACATTCTATAAACAAGAGTGTTCAAGCCACCCGTAAAACTTAGTGACGCCGATTGATAGCAATAGTTATCGGAACTTGGCAATTGCTTTTACGAAATGAACTAGGTTTGAACAAGAAGCGCGCTAAATTTAAAAAAAATACAAATAGCTTTCAACTTACAAGGATCTACAATGAAAGTAGATTACCATATATAATTTCAGAAAAATGAAATTAAACTAAAATCTTCTTAAAAAGCTGAAGGCTTTTGCTGCTAAAGCTTAAGTTATGTTTCGCGCAATTTGTATTTTCGCGACAGTTTCTGTATAATAATAATAATTGTAAGATCTTTATAATGAAATTGTAACATGTCGACTTTGCTATATTCGTCTTTAAGAATATCAGATAATTAAAATAAAGTTTTGATAGTGTTGAATAAACACAAAAAATGTTTATGTTTTAATACTAATACTAATCTTTTAATCGTAAACTCTTGCGAACCGATTCAAAAGAACTGGTTCAATTTAAAGCGCCACGGAATCAATGTGATTCCATTGGTACACCAATACAACTCTAGACAACTGCAAAGAACATTAAGAAGCCGTGGTGAAAGTGCCATAGGCCTCTAAGCGCCAGCATAGAAGCAACGTAGCGGAGAACGGAGAACTACAGTTGCCAAGCAAAGCACGCACACTCATTGGGGGATCAGTCAGTTAAACTGTCAAACAGTTCGACCCACAGCAAGGAGCAACAGCTGTTGCTTGCCGCCCATAAACATACACATACACAACATACCTTCAAAATGCCACACACACAGTCCCAAAGGTGGCTGTACACCTGCCTGTTTGTCAGCATCTTGCCCACGTTGTGTCTGGGTCTTCTGGATGGTCTTTACTGCGGCAAAGAGAACTGCTACGATGTTCTGGGCGTCACACGTGAATCTTCCAAGTCAGAGATTGGCAAAGCCTATCGCCTATTGGCACGCAAACATCACCCCGATCTGCATCGCGGTGAGGAGGCCAAGGCGCTGGCCGAGGAACAGTTTAAACTGTTGGCCACCGCCTACGAGATACTGCGCGATGAGGAATCCCGCACCGACTACGACTACATGTTAGACAATCCGGACGCATACTATGCGCATTATTATCGCTACTATCGTCGACGTGTTGCGCCTAAAGTAGATGTGCGTGTGGTGATTGTGGTTACGTTGACCATCATATCGGTTATTCAGTACTATTCAGGCTGGCAGCGCTATGACGCCGCCATCAAGTACTTTGCCACGGTGCCCAAGTATCGCAACAAGGCGCTGGATATAGCGCGCGATGAGATCCAGGAGCGTGTGCACACGCGAAAGGGCAAGAATCGCAAGAGTTTATCGAAAACGGAACAGAAGGAGGAACTGGAGCGCATAATACGTAAGGTGATCGAGGAGAAGATGGACGTTCAGGGCGGCTATGCGAAGCCCACGGTTTGGGATGTGCTTTGGGTGCAGTTGCTCATCTGCCCATATACGCTTTTCAATTTTATTGTATGGCATGCGCTATGGTTCTGGCGCTATACGGTGCTCAAGCAGCCGTACGGACGGGAACAGCAGCTTTATCTGATACGTCGCCACATGGGCATGGGCCAGCATCAGTTCAATGCACTGGAGGACAAACAAATCGAGGAGTATCTGCAGCTGGAGCTGTGGCAGCGCGACAATTTTGTTGCGTGGAAGGCCGATCAGGATGAGGACATGAAGAAAAAGCTGGCCGAGAATCCGCGTTACAAGGCCTACAGGCGCTATATGAAGAACCATGGTCCCGGCCGAATAACCTTTGAGGATTAGGACGGCGCCTGTTGATGTTCAAGTTTTATTGTTCCATCTTGTCGCCATTGGCACGACTGTAATTTATTATTTTATGTTCATTATCTAAAATTCATGTTTTTTTATACATATTTTTTCTGTGTGTAGGGCGAAGTTTTGCAATAGTTTAAAAATAAATTATGTTAATAATTCTGTTAGCCATTGGATACTGCCCGCCGGCACCGATGGCCAAAACGTTGACCTCGCCGCAAACCGGTTCAAAACGTGCTTACTCGCCATTTCATCTTTTCAGCAGCAGCCGCTGCTGAGCAGAAACGTGCGAAATGCCCAACAATACGAATCCGAAACCGAGAACTCTACCTTCTGTAAAAACGTTGTTAGCTCAATTGTCCGAATTTTTATAGCAAATATACAAATACTAAAATAAAAAATAAATATTTTTAAAGCTGATTGTTTTTCAAATGGAAAGTGGAAACCCCAAGACGTCTCGCCAAGACGTCTCTATATGCTGAGTATATCTCCACACGTAGACAATGGTCGCAAATTGCTAAGTTTTCCACCGTCTGTGTCCATTCAAAAACAAAAATATTAATATTTTTTTATTTTTATTGAGCGATATCTTGGGGTTTTCGCAAATACATATGCACATCTAATATGTAACTTCTGAAAGTTCTGATTCAACATCAATAGATATATATATATATATACCACTTAAGAAATTTCTTTACGACAAATTTAAGATATCTCTTTTCTACATACTTCCCACCCCTGGGAAATAGAAATTTACCCATACTATTCTGAATTTCACTTCTCAAGCTATATTTTACATAGATAATAATAATATTAAATAGATAATAATAATAATAGATAATAGTGGTGCGCTTAGTCAATACATGTTTTGATAAATTTGTATCCGATCCATTATAGGATAAGGATAATCAATGGCCAAGTCGATCCAGCCCTATCGATCTCGGAACTGTATGCAGGGTATTTCGTAGTCGGCACTCTCGACAAGGGCACCCTATTGGTGTGTATCATACTATTGTTTTTGGGCTGTCGAATATGGAGCACACAACCTGTTGCTCGTGTACACAATTGTTCTTTAGCTTTGAAGCTCGACATTTTTCATATAGACAACATTTTGACATTGTTTTCTTGAATATGTTGGAAACCGTTACCAACTCGGGTTTATTTACACAGCTGATGAGCACTATACTAATTTGCTTTGCATGCATGCTTAAGAACTAGAGGTGGGCGGGAGAGGGTTAAGGGAACTATTCCATCAAGTATTTGGTATCGCTGACCAGATCATCTTCGTCGAGTAGATCGCTGACGAGTCCGTACGGCACCTTGACATGCTGAACGCTCTGAAATTCGCTATCGTCCAGCTCAGCATCATGGTAATCGGCCAGGTCCTGGTCGGTCTCATCCGCATCCTCATTGTTGAACATAAAATCATTGTTAACAATGCACTCCTCAAAGACCTTGGCCTGCTCCCCTCCCACCTGGTTAAGGGTGCTCATGGCACCGATGCCCACATTTACAGGATCATCGTCATAGTCATCGTCCTCATCAGCATTGACTAAGTCGTCATGGCGATCATAGTGCATATGTTGCTTTCGCTGCTGCTGTTGTAGCTGTTGTTTTTCTTGTTGCTGTTGTTTTTCTTGTTGCTGCTGCTGTTTTTGCTGTTGCTGCAGTTGTTGCTGCTGCTGCTGCTGTCTCTGCTGTTGCTGTCGCGGCTGTTGCTTGCGCGTGGGCAGCCGCTGTAACGTTGCCGTAGCCATCTCCCCCACGTCCGGCTGGTTGCTGCGATGCTGTGCGAGATGCGTCGCCAGGTAACACTTTTTGGTGAATCCTTTGTCGCATTGAGTGCACTGGAATTGTTTTTTGCCCGTGTGCGTACGCCGATGCACGGAGAGCACATGGGCATAAGCGAATCCTTTGTTGCACACCTCACAGACATACGGACGTTCGCCGGTGTGGATCCGTTCGTGCTTTTTGCTGCTGCCAAAATCGGAGAAACGCCTTTCGCAGTAGTGACAGCCGTAGGGCTTCTGACCGGTATGCACTCGCATATGCCGGCGCAGCTCCACGTTCGATATGAACGCCTTCTGGCACACCTCGCAGGGATAGGGACGCTCGTTATTATGGCGCCGCATGTGGGCGTTCAACGCATGCTGATACTTGTACGTGTTGCCGCAGATGTCACAAATCTTGGGCTCTGTCGTGCGCCGACTTCGCGAGCTGACCCCGATATTGATGATGTTGCTGCTGTTGTTGTTGTTGATGATGGGAACACACGGCGTAGGCTGTGTGTGCACGTGCTCCTCAACCGGAAATTTGTAGTCCTCATCCTGCTCTTGCTCCAGCTCTTGCTCATGATCAAACTCCTGCTCCTGGTCTAGCTCCAGATCCGGCTCCGACTTGCAATGTCGCTGCTGCTCCGTTTGTTCTTCAGACCAGTCAACGTCCAGTGCAATCATTTTGTCATCTTCATTGTCGGAGACAACGGCTGTCATGTCCTGCAGCACCAGCGTTGTAGCTCCATCGTCTGGCCGAATCAGTGTCAGCGTATCCACGCCATCATCCTCAACATCTTCATCAATATCATCATCATCATTGTAATACTTAACTTTACTGGTGGCCGCTTCAGTGTCGAGTCGTTTGATTTTGAGGCTGGGTGGCAACTTTAGGTGCTGCGTCTGCTCGAGCTCCAACTTGTCCACGTCCAGGAGAACTGTGGCTGTAGCTGCCGATTGGAATACCTTTTGTGCCTCCAGGCACTTCTGCTGGAAACGGTATGTAATGCTCAGCTCGTTGCGGCATCCATGGCAGATCTTATCGGGCAATTGGGAGAGCAGCGGCCTGTCCAGTCGCAGCGCACTGCAACTGCGTATTTTATCCACAATTTGCATATGCGGCGTCTCCAGATCCTGGCCATAGATGGAACAATATCCGGGCTCCGCACGTAAGCATATCAGGCAGACAACGCCTAGATCCACCAGGTGTGATCCAGGGCCTAAATTACGCGGCATTTTTTACGGATTGTTTGTTATGAGTGCTAAAAACAAAACTCCCCCACACTCGCACGCACACAGAAGCACACGCATATGCACACATACAAGTATAGATGCTATATTTTGTGTGTCTATTATGTGCGTGTTGCGCTTTTTTGTTGTTGTTAGTTTCTGTCAAACGCTATCGATAGTTTGATAGTTTATTTGTTTATATGATGGACATTACATTAAACGCGACTGTATATAATATGCATCAATAAATTGTTATATGTGACGTCAGTATTTTATTATATCAAGGTGTATGGGGTTCAGTGGACAGTGGACACATCTAAGAATAAATACACATTTGATATCAGCTTGGAAAAGTTTCCAAAAAGTTCTCGTTAAATTTTCATCACTTTATGTTAGACTCAAGAAAACTATTAGATAGTTTGCAAACTTTTTATGTTGTGACATTCATGACGCAGAAGAGGCAAACAAAACAAATATTCAACAATTGCAATTCAATCTTGTGATTGCGACCTCACTTGCTAGAGATGAGAAGTAGCAATTGCCACTTCGTCTGAAGCTATTGTGAATTGCTATCGATAAACAAGGAAATATTACATTTTTTGAATGCGCACAGCTGGCGGCGAGAATTTTGACCGAAACAGAAAGCTTAATCTAGTTCACATTTAAATCAGTGAGCGTATCGTCTAAAACCGTAAATTCTTGAATATATTCTTAAAAAATCTTAACTCTACCAAAGCGTTTCACATATCATCAATTCACTTATTATTATATCGAGTCCACCGTTCGGGCACATTCACTCTTAGATTGTGTTTTGTGTTTTTGTTAGTTTTCGTTTTTTTTTTTTATATACTTCGTACACTTTCTAATATCTGGCCGTACGGCGTAAATATGTCGCAAAATCCACTAACCGAGCTGACGCACCAACTGATTGACTACTTCGCCATTTACCCAGAGAATGAGGATGCTCGACGCATGCAGCGCTACGGCGAGCTCATACGCTATCATAATGAGAACCTGATCGAATTCGGAGATCTGAGCATTGCGGCAAGTTATATAAATTGGCATTGCTTTAGTCAGAAGCAGGGATTGCAGCTGCGCATGCAGTCCGAACAGATGCTGCCGGATGATGAGTCGCGCGAGGATCTGCTAGAGCAGAGCAAAAAGTGGATATTTCCCCTGCAGAATGTCACGAAGTTGCGCAAAGAGCGCTACGCGTTGCGTTTTTATCGTCCTCCCATCATTGCCCATGTGCTCAACTCAATACTGAAGCATGGTGAAAACTATGGACAGCACAAGAAGCTGGAAAAGAGTGCGTCACTTATGCCCACTCTGTGCCTGACCCTACACGAACAATTTCTGGATCCAGAGGTTGGAAACACCAAAGAGCTACACAAGTTCCGTGCCAGGCAACTGTACCTGATTGTGTGCCGATTGCTGGCCTACGCCAACTGGCGCCTGGTGGAGCCACAGGACCAGACGCCTGGGACACTGCTGGTCAGCGTCGAGTGCAACAATCTACCACGTCGCTTCGCCACCGATCAGATGGACAAGAAGAATGTGCGCATGGTGTGTGGCCCGGTTCTCGAACCGACCAAGAAGACTGCCACAATGCTGACCAGCGGCAGCTATATGGCGTAAGCATGCCCAAGCGCAACATAAGCTGCCCCTCTGCTCAATTAAACATTATTTCTTTTATATGTTCTGGCGGTATCAGCCTGCGCTCCAACGATATGCTGCTCATAGCCATGCATCGACATGGCGTGCGCGACTGCGCCAAGGGCACTGACTTTGAGAGTCTGATGCAGCGTCTGGGTCATGCAGCCGTCATAGTGGATCTGTTTGAGGTGCGCCATGGCAGTGGCGCCACCGTGGTGCGAAATGGCTTGGGTAGCTCCAAGGGCGCCAACTATATATTGTACAATTCGGCACGTCTAGAAACACTCTTACGCACCTTTGCCGCACAAGTGGACGCAGGTGTCTATGAGCCGTTGCCACCGTTAGAGAAAATCGATCTTAGTGTGCTTGAAGATGAGGTGCGTTCGGCATTGCTGACACATATATATTATCTATAAAGTGCTTGTTTTTGGTTGCAGCTCGACTGGCAGCTAATCTATGGCTATTTGCTTACCTTCCCAGAGCTAGTTGAATCGACGCTAGTCCAACTAGATCAGGGCTTGTGCGCCGTGCATCTACTCGTCCGTTATATTGTTGATTTGGCTAGCCTATTTAGCCGCTACTACCGCAACAAGCAGATTCTCGTGCAACAGCGCTCGAATCTGATGCCCGTGCTCTATGCCCGCATCTACCTGGTCAAGGCGGTGCGGGAGGTGCTGAATGCAGCATTGGCCCTGTTAGGAATACAGCCCGTAGACTATATGTAAGGGCCATCAAACGAGCTTAACACCAAACAAAAAACCCCAAAAAGACGTATCTTCTGTTTTATGTATATTTAATGTACAAATATTTTTAAATTTAACAACAATATAAGCTATGTATGGATAAGGCTTACGACTAAAAGGGTGCTGCACTATGCAAACCTCCATAAAATGTCGTTTACAAATAAATATTATCATTGGAAATGCCCTTGCAAGAAGCTAATTATTAGTATACAATGCAAATACGCATAATTATGTATAATTTATATGGATATGAAATGTGTACTACGTTCGGGAATAATAGCAGTGTCGTAGATATAAGAAATACGTGTTTAAAAAAATGTCGTTGCATTTTGTCTGAGTTTGTCATGGTGTTGAGTGGAAAATGTCATGAGCTTAAGTTTAAATTTAGATAAGTCTATTTTTACGTGTTGGACTTAGATTAATGTATAACATACATAGGAACATTTGGCCAAAAATGCGTTACAAACTGTAATTCCTATTTAAGAGCTTTTCGTGCTTATTTTAAATCAAATAAACCAAATAAACAGTTATAGAACAGACATATCATTTCATAGTGGGCTCAAAGTTTTTGAGTAGATGTCAACTTTGACGGAGAAGCTAGGCATTATGCTCTATTGCAAGGGCTTTCAACTTTCGGCATGCCGAATGTGTATCTTTCCTCTCACTCTGTCTCTCTCCCTCTCTCTCTTTCTGTGAGTATAGCTCTATTTCAGCATTTATAACGTATTCATTTGGCATTTTCGCTGGCAACAACAAGTCTATTCACATACACACACATGCATACACATACACGCAGAACACATACACACATTATTAGGAAACTTTAGGCATAATACTATGGTGGAACATGTCCACTAGAGGTGGCGTCGCCAGCTCATCATCTGGTCTGTTGCTTCTGCCGATTGAACTCGGCGATGAACTCAACGTTCTGGCGATTGTTGAAGAACAGCTGCTCCATAAGACGGGTGCTGCCCAATGAGTTTGCCTTGGTGCCCAGGCACATGTTATACTGTGGCGCATCCAGCTGCACATCGCAGCTAATGTCATGGTAGATGTGCACCAGAGTGGGATCTGGGGCACGAAATACGGTGAGACGCCGCCACTGTTCAGCGGCCTCGTTATAGTCGAGCGGCACTTCGGCCGTGTTGGACAGAAAGCCATGTTGGCGGGTGCCGACGCGCACAATCTTCTCCAGGAACTTGACATCCTCCAGTCCCCAGCCAGTTATGTCCTTGTCAAAGCCATTGATATCGTCGTCCAGTATGTCCGACTTGTAAATGGCACAAATTCCAAAACCAAACTGCCTAAAGTAGCCGTTCTCATCGTCAATTGGCAGCGATTCGGAGGCACTGGCTTCTCCCCGACGCTTCGGATCATATTGGCTAAACACAATGGGCAGATATACCTGCCGACCACGCTGCGTATGCATGCGCACCCGCTGAAGCGTCTCCACGCCAAACACCATGTCGACATCGATGAACAGAATAATGTCCTCCTGCCTTATGTACGAGGAGCGTGCGGCAATGTCCAGTGCAACGCCGCGCGAGAATTGTCCACTGCGTTGTATATAGTTGATCTGCTTGTAGATGTGGCGGGCACGCAGCTCATTCAGCTGCTGCAGATGATCGGTCAGCTCGTCCGGCGGCCCAAAAATAACCACCAGCAGATCGCAGTGTTGCGAAGCATCAATGCAAACACGCTCATAGGTGGCCAGAAAGCGTTGAAAGGTCGCCAGGCGACCGGCTATGGGCAGGACAAACACGATATTGTCCGGCGGAGGTGCCAGCAGGTTGCTGGCCATGGTAAAGTGACTGCTCAGGCGAGCCATACCATTGTGTAGGAGGCTACCCAACAGACCTGCAGATGACAAGGCTTGAATCAAATGAAGTTGAATTACTCAGCGGAATTAATTACTTCATTACTTAAGTAATGGCGACGAAAGGAGGCAATTACTTCAGATTTCTTTGAGTTATTTTTTTTATCCCTAACTCACTGAAAAAGGTTGAAAATTAACGAGGAGCCAAATCGATCCTAGCCTAATTAATAGCCTCCACAACATACGCAGCACGAGCTTATTATTTCTTGTTTCGATATATGTATATGTACTTCCATTTTGAAAATATTAAAAATCTATTTTGAAACTTGGTTTTATGCACAACTCGGAAATTATATGAGCTTAAAACACCAAACTGGGTGTGTAGGTTCTCGTATTATATATACATATTTAACATATTTAACTGTTTGGATAAATTCCCTCTTTTTCCATCAAATCGGAAAGGAATACTCATTTTAAATGCCTTGCGATTTGGTATATGAAAACACACACTTTTGTTAGCCATATTTATGGCCATATAAATCGGACAATAAGCTCTGACTGCTATCTCGACAGCATTTCCCATCGTCCGTCTGTGTGTAGAAGCTAGAACGGCAGCTCGGTGCTGGACTTGGGATTAGAACACTCTTAGCTTGTTAATTCCCGAAATATGTGCACGGATATTAGCCATACTCACTTTGCTGCAGCGTTACATTGTAGAAATCCTCGTCCAACTCCTTGACAAAGATGCCGGTGAATGCGCGTTGCACATAGAGATGACGACGCACGGGCACCGTCATCTTCTTGCCACGATACTTTTTGTAGATGAGCAACAGATCCAGTATAAGATCCTGTCCATGTATTGCGTCCAGCCGATGGTAACCATAGAGCAGCTCACGAAACTCAATAACGCGTCCGCGTTGTCGCGAATAATAATTGATATTTTCCATCACCTCGGTTATGACATCCTCGAGACCCTCGCGCATGGCTGAGTCAATTTTCTGCTTGGGATTCGCCGAGCCTGCCGAGTACAGGCTGCGCGATATGAAGGACCAGTCCAGTAGATCCGCTGTGCTAGCGGGCACAAATTTATTCAGCTCCGGGCTAATGCCTGTGAACAATCGATAACATGAATTTAAATTCGATAACGTATACAAGAATTTCGATACTAAAAATTATCGATATTTTATATATTGCCGTTACAATGCAATTTAAATTTAATTTAATATTTGTCGTTTACTTTTTTGTTTTCCTTGATGCGGACACTGTTGGAGCCAATATGGAACACAGAAGCACAGCATAGACGATAAGTCAAGCAAAGCTTTCGACATTTCCATTTAGATTTCTATTCTAAAAACTCAGCTCGATATTTATGTGAAGCATGTGGCTCCCAAACTTGCCCCGCCTGGCGTTTCTCCTGTCGCTGTTCTTAAGCATCGCATTGGTTTATGCCAGCGAGAAGGAAATGGAACCCATTGAGAATGAGCGCAATGCCAGCTATTGGATGGAGCAGGCACAGCGGCAGCTGGCTGAGCGTCTGGAGCGTAGCCGCGAGGCGGGTGGGGGCGATACGCGTGTGGCCAAGAACGTAATAATGCTATTGGGAGATGGGCTGTCCATAACTACACTCACCGCGGCACGCATCCTAAAGGGCCAGCATGCCGGTCGCAGCGGCGAGGAGTGCCAACTGGCCGTGGAACAATTTCCCTATTCGGGTCTGAGCAAAACCTACTGTACGGACAGCCAGACAGCGGATTCGGCATGTGCGGCGACCGCATGCTTAACTGGGGTGAAAACCAACTATGGCAGCATTGGACAAAGTGCGCAGGGTGCCAAGGTGGAGTCCATCGTGCATTGGGCTCAAGAAGCGGGCAAAGCCACAGGGATTGTGACCACCACGCGGCTGACAGATGCGAGTCCGGCAGCTGCGTATGCGCACGTGAAGAGGCGCTCCCAGGAGTTGGACATAGGACGCCAACTGATTGAGGATGCACCGGGACGCTATCTAGATGTAATACTGGGCGGCGGTCTGGGTAAATTTGCCAGCGAGCGCACCGATGGACGAGATTTACTTAAACAATGGCACGCTGCGAATCCGGACGGCTGTTTTGCCCGCACCCTGGGTGGGCTGCGCGACTGCGGCGCCACGAATGGCAGCCTGTTGGGCTTGTTCAGTGACAGTCATATGGCCTACCATTTGGCGGCGTCCAAGGATCAGCCACGTCTCTGTGATATGACAGAAGCGGCCATTAAACGGCTGGAGCAGCAGCCGAACGGCTACTTTGTGTTTATCGAGGGCGGACGAATCGATCATGGACATCATGAAACGCGGGCAGGCTATGCACTGGACGAGATGCTCGAGCTAGATGCGGCCATCGAGACGGCTGTACGTCTGACCAATGCACGTGATACGCTCATTGTCGTCACGGCGGATCACTCGCATACGCTGAGCATGGCGGGGTACGCCAATCGCGGCACAGCAATACTGGGCTTGGATCCAAGCCAACGCGACTTGGATGGTATACCCTATAGTACGCTTAACTATGCCATTGGCAAGTGGCAGAGCCTCAATAAGGCCGGCAAACGCGAGAATCCCGCACCGCATCTAAGCCGAAGTGAGTTATGCTGCCTCCTTTGAGCGGACACAAATATATTTTTATTTCGCCTTAGCTTCCTTTACGCCCAGCTATATACACGCCAAGGGGGTGCATTCGGGCGAAGATGTGGCCGTCTTTGCCCTCGGTCCACAGGCTCATCTCTTTAGCGGCGTCATGGAGCAGAATCTGTTGCCGCATCTGATGGCTTATGCAGCCTGTCTGGGCCAGGGCACCACTATCTGCCAACAAAATTCCTAGGAACGCGCGCACACACATACACATACACATACACACACACACACACACACACACACGTAAGCATGTTAGTTTAACTTTTACAATGTAAATTTTTGTTTCGTGTTAATTCAAATAAAACGTTTTGAAAGCAATCTTTACATTTTATCGATAACTCCGATCATTTTGATCGCATCTCGATAACAAACAACGGATTTGAAAATATAAATACCGATCTTTCCGGTTCGAAAACCTGAAGGTAATCATTAAACTGGACTCACCTAGAATATTATGATCTTCGAAATGGCGTTTGCCATTGTCTTTGTCTGGAACGGCGCCAGGTGAGACGCTTGGCACCATATATGTGCTGTCATCAGGCACTTCCAAGTATTTGGCCATACGCTTAATGTCGCGATGCAGCAGTAGAGATTCCTGGCGCAGTTCCTCGGCCTTGAGACCCTGTATGTAGGAGTGCAGGCGATACATCAGCGGCGCCTGCTTGATTGGATGCAGCGTGATGGCGTTATGTATCTCCT